TACTTTAATCAGAGTAATTGCGTTTCTTACCTACTGCAAAAGAGTTCATCTTATCTTAGAAGAATTAGTCAATGGGGAATTAAAAGATTGTTATTTAAGGTAACTTTTATTCTTTAAATGTGCTTTTTCAGAGATAAAGGAAGAGTTTAAATGGATTAGAACAAATTTCGGTGGGGATAGAATGATTTAAAATCCAATTTTCTTTCTACTAAAACATCAATTATACTTTTTAGGTTCAATAATTTGTTTTAGTATTTTTGTTTAATTACATTAAAGAAATGAATTTTTTTATAAAAGATTTATTTCGGTTTAAAATGTCCAACATTTTGATGGGATAATTTAATATTGATTAAAGTTATGCTCCCGTCAGAAAATGGATGATGATTTATTGTATTATTCTTGCTCTCAATAATTAAATTCTATGAAATGAGGTCGCTTTAAAATTCGATCTAATTTGACTTAACAATTAAATAATTTATCTACGTAAAAAAGCTTATTTATAAACGTATATTAAGTCAGAATTTATTCACGGAATTAGTTATTTAATTATCTCGTTCTTTTTAAAATTTGGTATTTTATCATAATCAAAATTTCAAAGAAAATAATAGATTATGTAAACTGTTTAAAGTGGCAGGGTAAATCTGGTATAAAACAATCGAAAGAAGGTGCTTCGTGGCAGAGTGGCTAGGTGCTCTGGCGCTCAGTGTCACAGGTTTCGTGTTCGAATCTCGGTGGTGCCATGGGTGTTTGTAATGGTTTGGAATCCACTTTAAGCCGTAGGTTTCGGTCTCATGTAACTGTAAGTGCCAAGCCAGACTTCTACCTACGGGTGCTCCAACGCAACAGAAGCTGCACCCTTTCACTTCAACCATGAGTCCATACGAGTTCGTGGGCTTGTTCTAGATTTCCACCAAGTGGGATAAGAAACAACAATAGTCTTTAATAAAGCGACCTCACTTCACACCATAAGCAGAAAGTGAACTTTCAACCCTTTTCAGAATAGCTTGCATGAGGTTACTGCTGAAGAATGAATAGGGTAATAATGTAATTTCAATAAAAAATATTTTGCAAAATAACAATAATTTTGAAAAGTACTAACGGATTTCTGTTTTTATTATTGTTATCTTATAAAACTATGTAAGTCCAGTGGAACTCTAAAGCCAATATATTTTCTAAGAGAACTAATATATACTGAAGAAATAGAACTATTTCTAGAAGAACTAATATATATATATATCGCACCAGGGTTGACGTATTCATTTGGAATGTATATAAATATAGTATCACTTTTAATGCATCAACATGGGTTTGTTATAATGGGGATCCTAAAATAGGCCTTAACTGGAATTACTGTCAACCGGCTTAAAGAATTTCATAGAGAAAATTTCATAGATTTATTTATATTCACGTTATTTTCGCAATCACAATAATTTCGGTCATTTCTATTGGTAAAATTTTGAAGCAGCTATGATCAATTTCAAATGTTTCAAATGTTAAAAATTTTTTTTTTAATTATAAAATTCAAATATCAATTGTGATTAAATTTTATATGAATATTATATTTTGTATTAAATTTTTATTATTAAAAATTCATTATTATTATATTATAATTCCAAATCACTGTTTAGAGAGCAAGAGAATTTGGCACCTTTTTTTTGTCCTCAAATAGGCGATAAGTAGCTAAATACGGTAATCCGAGTTATCTACATCCGACTTCGGGTTTTTGATTTCTGAAACTTGCCTTGACGCGATGACTCTTATAATTATTAAATACTCTTATAATTATGACTCTCATAATTATTATTTATATAATTATTAATAACTACTAAATGTTTATCTCTTGCTTATATTTTATTTATTTCTTAATTAACAATGGCACAACAACCCTGTGGGGAGGGGGGGCGGGGTCTTCTGCCTACTAGCAGATTCCGAAACACGAGATGTTGTTTTCTTTTTACGAATAGGATTTTAAGCTCTACGCCCAACGCTTTACAGTCATATTAATCTGAGACCGACGGTTTTAAGTGGATTCCAAACCCCTACAAACATCCATGGCATTGCTTGGAATCGAACCCGAAACCTGTGGATCTAGTCACGTTGCGAACCACTTGGCTAAGTGGGTAGCGCTCTGGCCTTTGGTATCACAGATTCCAGGTTCGAACCCTAACGGTGGCATGGATGTTTGTTGGTGGTCCGGAATTCACTTTAAACTGTAGGTCCCGGTCTGTTCAGTCTTCGTGTGCACAAGATGATAGTCATCAGACTTCATTTATTTATTTAGTGTTATTAATTATTATTTTTATTTATTGTTTTATATATCAATAACAAGATAATTTATTTACTACACAAATTTATTTGTAGCTTGATATTAAATCTTTCACAGGATTTTATTTTTATAGACATGTATATGAGACACGTTTTTAAACTTTATCCCCTTTTCAAACTTTTCATTTATGTGAAAGTTTTTTTTTCTATTCCAATGCAGCTGGGCAAACACTTAGACAATTGTCTTTGATGCCTTCAGGTAAGCGCTGCAACGACGATACTCACTTAGCACTACCTTAAAAAGGGGCTCGTGTAGCTTGAAGATAAGCTACGGACGCGGAGTGACACTACCCCAGCAACTCTCTACGATCATGCTAGACCGGAAACTACGGTCGCACCGCCGTGACTCGAACCCGAAACCTGTGGTAGTCACTCGGCCATTCAGGTCTCTTACGCGAAATTAGATCTATTTAGTTCAAAGAATTTATTTTAAAAAGGCTTAAAGTTTACATTTCACTAGGTTTAATGCACGCTATTTTCCTTCTAACCTAGATTCGTCAGTGTGATGTGTGGTCAAGATGAATTTTACTTTGGGAACAAAGAGTCTAGCATTACAATAGAGTCTACAATGCTAAGGTTTTATATTAATAACACTCGATAGAAGCAATGTTTCGCTTGGACGGCACCGGAAAAGTGTTCGACCCATTTGACCACTATCTGGCGAAATTTATGCGCCAAAGGTTATACGAAAAAGTATCCTTACGTTTGTACTTCAGATAGAAACGCGAGCCGTATTTTAGCAAAAAAGTTGGCGATAAAAACAATCGCCAAAAATTAAAAAATAAGACCATGTCCACCAAAACTGGGATTTTTACTTAGTATAAATCTCGTTTTATATTAAATAAATTAAAATAATAAATGTATTAATTATTAAGAAATAATATTAATTTTTGGCATAATTGATTAAGACAAAACATATTTACTTTTATACAGTAGGGGATTCGATTGCTGGATTCTTAGGTGATTTGAATTGATTATTAAAAATTGCGATATTAAAACTACTTTTTTTCTCTTATCCCAGTTGGCAAACAACATCTAGGCCAAGTCCAAGAACTCGTGTGGTCTCATGGAAGGAGAGAAAGGAGGACAGCTTCTGTTGTGATGGAACACCCATAGGTAGAAGTCTTTTGTTGATGACTTGATTCCTTGTTGATAAGGAAGGACGGCAGAGCCTTCCTGAAGGAGTTTTTGGAGGAACTACCCCGCATTTGTGTATGGTATGGTATAAAACCGGGAAGTCAAGTTTACGATGCAAGATGCTGAACATCCCAAACGCCATTGAGTTTCCTCGTTTTTATGAAATAATGTCTACAACAGCGGATTCAACCTCCGCACTAATGCTCAACAACGGCACGATCTACGAGTCGGGTTTAAAACTACTTCAAGTAATTACTTTAAAATTACATCCAACTGAAATTAGTAAAGAAATACAATTTTGTAATTTTTCATTTTTTTAATTGAACATATTTTTACCGATGATATTGTTTTGCTAATTAAATTCCATGAATTAAAAATATATTATTTCTCTAAAACCATGCAATCCCGTATCTATGTTAGCATATAAACATGAAAGTTGTTTTCTTCATCATAACTACTAATTTCAATTCAACTATTTAAACCCTCCAGATTCTGTATTTTTAGTTCGAGCTCTGTAAAATGTCTTTTAAGACTTGCTTTTGCAATTCTTTCTATTAGCTCCCACCTATATATATCTTGTTCAAATTTTCAATCGTTCATTAAATTCTTTTTTATTCATCCACTCAAGTTAAAATACAATTTTTTTGGAACTTGTAGTGGATGACTCTTGATGCTAATACAGTTTTCTCAAATATTAATTCAGTAATTAAATTTAATTAATTAGTTTTAGCTTTTTTTTTAGATTTAAGTTGCATATATCTACCAATAGATGGCGCCAGATAAATTTAAAAAATGAATGAAAATTATTTATAAAGGACTTTCTACAGTAGAGTGAAAAAAAAGTAGGAATTGACTTAAAATATTTTTTATATATTACTTGTTTACTTTTAATAGGCGTAGATGAGTGCTAAATAAAAAAATTACACAAAAGGGTGCTGGATTTTTTTCCAGAAAAAATTACTGACTATGAATAGGCAGAAAGCCTTTTCAATATATAATAAATAATAAAAAGTTTAAAATGTATTTCATATGCGCAGATATAGCCTAATATGAAGTATTAAATGAAAGGGTGAATCTTGTTCTGAAAATTTTCCTCGTGTCAATTGTAGAATGGAAATTCCTATTTTTTTTTCACTCTATTGCTGAAAGTCCTTTATAAATAATTTTCATTCATTTTTTTAAGTTTATCTGGTGCCATCTATTGGTAGATATATGCAACTTAAGTCTAAAAAAACTAAAATTAATTAGCTGCTGTAGGGGTATCATGCAAGATTCCCATTGTTGTGACTCAGGTTCGATTCCCGAGCGGTGCAAATGTTTAGTCATTGACTTGACTAGATGTGAGAATTTTGTGTTCTTCCGGTTTTTACACCACGGCACTCTGCTAAAATGTCCGACAGTTGTGTTCTGTTTACTCTTCTTCCTTAAGTGCACCGATACTCAACTTTCACCTTTTTAAACTGGCATTTTAACCACTCTTTTCATGATAGTGAATTTCGGAGAAAAACGTAAGAAAGCTGTATTAAATGGAAGCGCAAGCGCCTCTGGTGTACTGGTATCATGCAAGATTCACATTCTTGTGACTCGGGTTCGCTTCCCGGGCGGCGCAAATCTTTAGCGATTGGAAGCAATCTCTAAATTAACTAAATGTGAGAATTTTATGTTCTTCCTGTTTTGATACCATGACACTCTGCTAAAATGCGGAAATCTTTAGCCTTTGAAAGTAATGAAGATTTACTTCTGTAAATTAATTAAATGTAGTAAATTTTGGCTCTTTTATACTTTACGCGATGAAAATCTACAAAAATTAATACAGTTGGGTTGTTGATAATCTTCTTCATGAGGTCCACCTATACTTAACTTTCGCTTTTTTTTAACTGGTAGTTTAACCCCCCTACCTACGAGAGTGAATTGTGGAGAAAATCAGAAGTAAGCTTTGTTATTAAACATCCGCCGATGGTATAATGCAAGATTCCCGATTATGCTGCTCGGGGCTCGATTCCCGGAGCTCGAACGGTGCAGAACTTCAGCTGTAGGAAGAAAAAAAATATAAATCTTCAGTGTTTTGAAAATTATCTGTTTTGCTTTACTCTCAGTTGAGAATAACCGAGTCCAGAAAATTGAGCTTTAAAATTAATTTAAGAGTTTGTTGAGTTAGTGTGAAAAAACAGAACGTTTTGCAATCTTTGTTAAAAATAAAGTATACTAATCTATTCACTAATAGAAATTTATTTTTGAATGTTGTTGCATATGTTTCATATGTTATTTATGACGTTTCCGGTTGTCATTTTCTATTTTACAAGAAAGATATATGCAGGGCGATTGTAATTAAAGTCCCAGTTTCAAAATGCTGTAAAAAAACCCACTCCTGTGTCCTGACAATGAGTTCAAATTTGAACTGAAGATACTTAAGGAAGGGAGAAACGGTACGGCATCAAAAACTGTTCCAAACCGTAAGCGGTCCAAAAGTGAATTTGGCTACCAGTAACATTTTGAATCGAAATTACTACGTATTTGTCATGAGTTGCACATTAGACAAACTGTAGTGTTTAGTGCGCTTGGTTTTTCGGTTTTTTTTGTTCAACAGTTGTGATACTGTCAGTGGGAAACCCATCCACCACAGCAAGTTTATACAAAATTGGATGAGAAAAATTGGTGGAACTTTTTTTATGTCATACTGTTTCTCTCATCTTCAATTACACTCAATTCAAATTTGAACAAATTGTGACGAGTGGTTCTTTTTATACAGCATTTTGAAAGTAGGACCTGTGCTTATAAAATCAAACATGAATGAGAGATGTATTGTTGATATTATAAGCACAGAAAAATTGTTCTTTCGTTTAAAGCATATGCTGCTGCTTCAACTATTAAAAAATTATGAATCGTGACTAGAAAGAAATGAGTCAGTTTGAGAGCATTAATAAATAGGTTAGGAGACATCATTGTCATTTATTGCCTCAGAGTCTGTTTTTGCTTTCTAATGCAGCTGGCAAACACTTAGACAGCTGGGTCTTGGATGCCTTAAGGCAAGCGCTGCACAGACGTACTCACTTTGCATAACCCAGGGGGCGCGTGTAACTTGAAGATAAGCCACGGAGTAACAATGCCCCCGCAACGCTCTACGATCCTATTAGGACCGGACCTACGGTTTAAAGTGGATTCCGAACCACTACAAACATTCATGGCACCGCCGGGACTCGAACCCGAAGCCTGTGTTACCGAGCGCCAGAGCGCTAGCCACTCGGTCATTCTGGCCCCTTGCCTCAGAGTCTTGATGATAAATAAATAAATATAGGGGGCGTTTTATTGAGACTAGTGTTCTTAGACTTGTTTTGAATATAATAGAAAACATTATAATTCTAATAATTTACATTATTGTTAATAATTATTGAATTAATGTTTAATTTTTGGTATTCTAATTTATAATTAAGTACATTTCTACCTTTTAAATGTTAATTTGGGCCTGAATGGCCGAGCGGCTGGCGCTCTGGCGCTCGGTACCGCAGGTTTCGGGTTCGAGTCCCGACGGTGTTATGGATGTTTATAGTGGTTCGGAATCCACTTTAAACCGTAGGTCCCGGTCCTAATAGGATCGTAGAGCGCTGCGGGGGCATTGTTACTCCGCGTCCGTGGCTAATGTTCAAGTTACACGTGCCCCCTGGGTAATGCAAAGTGAGTACGTCTGTGCAGGGCTTGCCCTAAGGCATCCATGACCAAGCAAGTTATTAATCGAAAACTAAGAAATATTATCCATATGGTTTAATGTGAATCCTGATTTAAGAATCTAACTCGAACCGCTCCTTTCATAAACTTGGCAAATGCTTACTGAAGTGAATCAACAGCACTCTTTATACTGCCTGAACTTCCACATCCACAGTAGTGATCTGGACTGTGTGGTAGAATGTGATATCTTTCCTTTTGCTTTGTAATAAACTTTTGTTGTTTGTCCGTATGTAATTAAATATAAAATAGATACATGTTACATATACTCGGCTCATCATTTGTAACACTTTTCGCTTTTCATATAACGGATTTGATTACGGTAAATGAATGCCAACCAGTACATCTCCATGGTTGTGTGGATTAAATGTTTTATGTATTCCACTCTAAAATTATGCTGTATATTGGAAATTATGGAAATAAACAGATTATAGGGCCAATAGATAATATGGCCGTTTATGGAAAATATGGGGTCATTTATGGGAAGTTATAGAAAATGTGGTCATTTATGGGAGTTATAGAAAATGTGGTCATTTATGGGAAATTAGGGAAAATACGGTCATTTATGGGAAATTATGAAAAATATGATCGTTTATGGGAAATATGGAAAATATAGTCATTTATGGGGAATTACTTTCAGTAGATGACGCGTTTATTAGTAAGCCTGCCGGCTGTTTGTCAATTTTACAGGGTTTCTCCCATTTTGATGCGAGAAAATATTCCTGGGAATCTTTTCGAAAGGCAATTGTAAATCGTTCTGCGTGAACACAATTAAATGTTATAATGGCAAAAAGACCTTTAACTCAAATATATTATCCTCTTAGCGGATTAAGACGAATAAACACGTATCTCATGTTTGTCTCTTTCAAGTTCATACTCTTCTTCATGAGGTTCACCGATACTCACCCTTCACCTTTTTTAACTAGTAGTTTAACCATCCAAACTACGAGAGTGAATTGGCTACGGTTGAATCCACCATGGCTACGGTTGTTCATACTCTTCTTTATGAGGTCCACCGATACTCTCCTTTCCCATTTTTTAACTTTTTTAACCCAAGTTAACTCATACAAAAATTAATTTTTAATTCTGGGCTAAAGCGAGATCATTTTAGAATAACTTGTATTATTCTATGGTGATAGTAGGTTCATTCGTTCTACATAAACATTCCATTTGAACATTCCCAACTGTTAGCAGGCATTTGAATGGGAAATCTTAAATTCAAATTTATTATTTCAGAAATATTCATCTTAATATTACATTCTAAAGTACATAAAGAATATTCTATTGTTTACTAGGACAAAATGCTTACATGGTTGAAAATTCTGTCTTCGATAAACATTGAAAATTTTTGTAACATACACAGAATTACCAATACAAATAAAATACCAAACATCATACCTTGGAAATAAAATCTTTTAGATTCATTTAGGTTTTTAATTTAAAATCATTTTAGATTCTTCTGGTAACACCTTCTCTTTTATAAATTATTTTGGTCCACAAAATTATGACCTTGCAAAAATCTTAAATTCAAATTTATTATTTCAGAAAAATTCATCTTAATCTTACATTCCAGAGTAACATTCCATTATTTACCAGGACAAAATGCTTACACAGTTGAAAATTCTGTCTTAGATAAACATTGAAAAATTTTGTAACATACACAAAATATTTCAATGTAAATAAAACATCAAGCGCCATACCTTGGAAATATTCCGCTAAAATATTCCAAAGATTCACCCTACGGATCGGAAACTCCATAATCTGAAACATCTCTCGGAAAATGAAACATAAATGTTCCATTCGCGAAGAATCTAGTAGAACCATTTTGAATTCTTCAAGGTTCCCCGCCAGCTTTGCTCACGAGATGCTATTTTCCAGTTTCCCCTGTTTATTGCATTTGGACTCTCTAAATCTCCCTTAAAAAGAGCATTATTTATTTTTAAGGGTGGGTTGGAAAAAAAGGGCACGAAAATAGTCAAGCATGAAGCACCTTAAGAATTGAACCGGACGGAATGCATGGAGGAAAAATGAGGTTTACCTTACTTATTGTTCTTTTTTCTGCACAGTTCTTTTTATTTCTTTTCAATTTCTTTCCGGCACTTAAATGGAATCTCGACTGAGTAAGAAATCGAGTAAGAAAGTGTTGGAAACTTGGAATAAGTCTACAAGAAATTTCAGGTCATTATATAAAAAATCAATTTGAGAAATGGGAGAAGAAAATGATACAGGAAATCATTCCGCGTTCCATCTATTGCGAAGAATAAAAAAAGTAAATAAAATAGATAGAGAAATATGTGTTTCAAATATGTTTAGTTGTATTTATATATAAATAACATTAAACAATAATCTGATATGATTAATACACATCATTTACTATAAACTTAATTAACTAACTTTCTTATGTGCACCTTAACTGATGCAACGAATTATTTCTTGTTGAACATTAGTGTGTCCTATGTTCCATTTATATAACGTCACAAACAGCAGACCGACAGGCGATGAAGAAGGATATTGCTTTCCCGGAGGACTTTTAGCGATAATTGCACAACATTTTCGTGTTGTATAAAATAGATATGATGAAAATCTTTTCCCAAAATCCCTATTAATGTACTCCCTAATTAATCCCTATTAATGCCATTTACTATAAACTGAATTAACTAGCTATCTTGTGTGTACCTTAACTAATGCAACGAAATGAGGTTTACCTTACTTATTGTTCTTTTTAGCCAGTTCTTTTTATTTATTTTCAATTTCCTTCCGGCACTTAAAGGGAATCTCGACTGCTTTTCGAATCGAGCAAGAAAGTGTTGGAAACTGGAAAATTTCAGGTCATTCTATAAAAATCAATTTGAAAAATGGGAGATTAAAATGATACAGAAAATCACTCCG